CCAGAGGATGTAATTTTGCATGATTTAAAGCAGAATTAACAGATAATTATCTTTTGGCACTAATTTTAATATGTTCACCAAGACATAAATTACCAGCCCTGGATAAGGCAGAAGGACCTCCCCGCCAAGGGGCTCCGCAGAGCTGCAGCGCGCCCTGAACATCAAGGCTGTCTTCATGGACAGAAAGCAGAGCTGCTCTTAGTGGCTCAGGGAGGAAGGCGGGTTTTAGTTCCAAAAGGAGGAGGCTTTTCGCCGCTGACACAGTGAGGGTCTCTATGTCTCCTTCAGCACATGAGAAAACTCCAGAGAGATGGCACATGGAAAGGCCAGAGAAGCCAGAGGTGGCCAGAGGGCCAGGGTGGTCCGCGGGGTTCCCGGAGGTCACAGCGGCAGGGCAGTGGCCAGATCTGCAGCAAGAGGGCAAGGACAGGGCTCTCGCCTGAGGTCTGCAAAAGCTCAACCCTCCCTCCGACTGCAGGGACAGACAGTGCGCTTGGAAGAACCACTGAAGGAGAAAGAAAGCAGACACCATTACTAACACTGGATGTCAAATAAACATCGCAACGAGACACCTACTGCCCAGTTCTGCTCTTCGCTCCCTGTGAAGCCATCCTTGCTGGGAGCCAGGAGGAAGAGGCATAGCCACATAGGTGCCTGCGGGCTGCATGGGTCCAGGCAGGGGCCACCGCACCCCTCCTCAGCCACAAAGACCTTGGCCCGCATGCTCCATCCAGAGCCTAGGAAAGTGACCTCACCCCATCTCATGTGGCTCCCTCCGCCTCTGATACGTGGCCCCAAGCAGCAGGAAGCACAGTTTATGCTCTGCCCCACCAACACCGAGTCCCAGAATGGCACATTGGTCCCTGGCCCTGACCGGATGAGACCCATGCTTGTCCAGGACAAGCAGCTCAGCTTGGAGACCACTGAAGTGTGCAGCAACACATCCAGAGGGCAGCTTCCAGACACCAAGGTGGCACTTGCCCAGGCGACAGGCACCATGGCCAGCCATGCAGATCCTAGAAGTGCACTGTGCTGTCCTGCGCTTTCTGGACTCTGGAGAGGGTGCCCAGGAATGAACTCCAGGGTCTCTACCTTCTTCTAGAAATGAGTGCTGGTCAAGCGTGCGCCCCTCGCAGTGCCCCGGGCATGCTGTGAGGCCACTCCCTCTCCTTCCCCCACCAGGCCTGGCCGAAGCGTGAAGCCCCGGACAGGAGGTGGCTAGAGGAGCTGTCTCCGTGAGTCTGGGCCTGGTCTGGCCAAGAGTAGAAACTCTGGGACGACAGATCCCAACCTGTCCACTCCTCAGAGGCAGGAGGCGGCCTCCTCGTTCCTGGGATATGAGTGAGACCTCAGGACTCAGTGTGAGCCCCACAGAGGAGACTGCTGGAATAGGCGACTCCACAGAGGGAAAATGAGGCCACTGGCCAGGCCCCTATGCCCCAGGCCCATAGGTGGTGAGGGACAGTCATCACCAGTGAGCTAGGGCCCGAGCAGGAGTCAGCCCCACGGCTACAAAGCTGACACCCTCCCACAGGACGGTCATACGTGGGAGGCCTCAGACCAGGGTCCCCGGGAAATCCAACTTGGGAAAGTGGGTGGAGATGTGGTGAGTTCCTGCATCCCACTCCACCACACTGACAGTCTCTCCACCTTGGAGCAGCTGCCAGCCCCGGGCTTTTGTCCTCTCTGGATGGCAGGCACAGCCCCCACCCCCACCCCCACCGTGGGGGCTGCAGGGAAGATGCACCGCCACAGAGGTCAGACAGACTTGAAATACAGCCGCGGCCTAGTGGGGCTGAGCCAGGGACAGTGGCGCTGAGCCCTCCAGGTGCAGCCCCTTCTGCTTTTACTGGCAGGTCTGAGGCGGCTCCTCGCTAATGCCACTGCCCCAGGGACTGTTTACCTTTCAGAACCCACCAGGCTCCCACCAGAGACAGCACTCCTCTGAGAAGAAGAAGACAGTGCCTCTCACATGCCAAAGCTCTCATGTGGCCAAGAGTAAAGACAGCGGGCTTCTGGGCGGGAGCTAACCCCCAGCAGCCAGAGCAGCGTGCCAGGCCCTGGGACGGGCACCTTGCTCCTGCCCTCGTGGGGAGGGGGCACAGGCTGGTGGTTTCTGGAGTGGACTGTGTACCTTGGCCTAGGGCTGGTCATCACAGCTGGGCAGGACAGTGCCACTAGCCTGACACCGAGACGTGTCATGCACAGGTGACCCGGCGACCCACACCTGCTTCCTGCTCTTGCTGCACCCCTGCAGCGCAGACACAGCCCTGTACCAGAGTCCCCTCACACACTGGTCAGCTGATCAAAACTGAGAGTAGCGTTTTGGCATGAATTTAAGAAAGCTGCACTGCAGGTGGGCAATGCTTCTTGTTTCGGGTGGCTGGGGAACCCAAAGCACGCCGGAGTTCGTGGTTTATGAACAACATTTATGAATGACACTCTTGACAAATGTGAAGTCAAGAAAATGCATTGCCGTCCCTAGAATATCAATATTCTCGATTGATATGAAAGGAAAACAGGCAGAGATCTTGAAAACACTTACTATGTCAGAGTGAAGAGGACTGGTTAGCTTTATATGTGCTTAATAAATAGAGACGACACTGACTAGGAAATATTAATAAATCGTGCAAAACCTCCTATCGGATAGACTGGTGTATTTGGGGGTTTTCTACAAATGCGATAAAGTGAGTGCAATTCAAGATGGCAAAGAGATTAGCCTCAAATTTATACTGATTGGAAGAACTGGACGCCACATTTTTAAGTAAGGACTTCCGCAGATCCTCCTTGCTTTAACATAAATTGACTCATATGGTGAGAAGAGTGTGCTTTGCTTGGAGTCAGGGGAGACAGTGCCATGTATATTTGTATCTATTAAATTTCAATCACTAGAAGGCCAGCAATCAAAATGCCGTGACAATTAGTTATCTCCCTCCTCTAGTTACTTATCCGTCTGATTATATTTCTATTTATTCTGCTAAATTTGTTGTAGGAGAATAAGGACAATGTCATCAGCATGCCCACAGGGAACGGGCCTTACCACTCCTCATGAATGTAGCAAATACATTTTATGGGTGAAAATTTTCACGGACTAGGAGGGCTACATTTTTCTTTTCTTTGGTATGAATGGGCTTTTCTGAAGGCCACTCCGAAGCACACCTGGCCACAGCTTGTGCCACACACCCACTGCGCGATGTCACGCGCGGCACCGCATTCTATGTGTTTTCTAACCCCAGTCATCTTTTAGTTCCAACCAACAGGGGAAGGCATTGCTCTTGGCTCTAAGAAGGAGCAGCAGGGTAAACAAGCAACACATTCCTACTCGGGGCTTTTCGCAAGCCCATGAGACTACTGCCAAGCTGGGTAATTATGTTTAAAATACAGCATAATGAATCACAAACTGTTTGTTGTCTTAAATGCATGTGCCTGTGTCTAACCAAAGATGATTAGGAACAAAAATATTTTTAAAAATAGAAATGAAATACAAATAATGTTCTCCTAGACCTTGAAATGTCAAAACAGCAGTGGCTGTGACGCAAACCCTCGTATCACTTCTCATTTCACCGTAAAAGTTTAATAACTTAGATGCCACCCTTGCGGTCCTAAAAGTCCTGCCAGGCCCGACTTCCTTCAGACCCTCACAGCTGACACAGACATACTGTGAGCATTTTGCGCTCTGCGCAGTGAATCAGCCAGCGTCACCTTTCGCATTCTACCTGTGTGGGCAGAGTTAACCCTAATTGCAGCGTGGGATACCACGAAAGCGGGAATCTCCTGAAGCGCTGTTTCAGCCACTGCCTACTGGAAGTCGGTGCCGGGCCTACGGCTTAATCATAATCAGCCGCCCACTTAGTAGCTTGGAAATCTGGCAAGGGGAAGATGAGGCTGCAACGCACGGGTCCTCGGAGCTTCTGCCCCGCTAAAGCTGCAGAGCCCGAGGCAGTTCTCAAGTAACAATGCCATGTGCTGAGCACACACACGCGTTGGACGATGTCTCGGAGACGTTTGCTACCCAAATAATGACGATAATGCAATGTGTCCATGCTTCCAGGGACAGCACTGACAACAGCTCTGTGCTTCGCTCCAGGCTGAGCTCAGCCCTGCCCCACAGAGGTCCCCACCCCAGCTTGCGGCCGTGACAGCAGGTCTAGACTGAAGCCTGGAGGGCGTAGTCTTTCCCCACACTCTATTCTCTGTGACACAGAAGCAGGTAACTTGGAAGACATGGTACAGAAACTGGTCAAAACTTGGTTTCGAAAGTTTATGAGACAAGCACACAGACTCATCTTTACATAAGAGAAGGGGGACACACTGTCATAACCATTTCTAAGAAAAAATGAAAATCTGTGGATCCCTTTAAATTTCCTGATAGGGGCATAAATGGCTGGAGGCAAAACCTTGTTTTGAGAGGGTGTGGAAGTGTGGACAGGCACAAGGGCCCAGCCTGGCAGTGCCAGGGCAGGGCAAAGGCAAGGGGACACCTACAGGCAGAGGGCACAGAAAGAGCCTGGGGCAGCCCTCTCTGCCACCTGCCCTGCCAGGGCCCAGGACTAGCGACATGGAGGGCACCTTCAGGGACCAGCAGGACTGAGGAAGAGGAAGTCCTGGGCAGAAGGTGGGCGTGGCCCGTGGTGCAGGTTGAAAATCTTGCCGGTCACTACTCCCCAGAAAGCATGACCTACCCGCGCTGGAGGGTTATAAACTAAGTTAGTCAAGTATTTTCACAGTTCTGACGTTAGGTTAAAAAACACATTCCTGCTGAACAGTATTTCCATTTTTATATCCCAAACTATAGTCTCTTTCGTATCTGCAGGAAGTCATTTGATGGACTTACGAAGTTGAATAACACGCCAACTTGTGAATGCATGTTGACGGTCGAGTTACAGCAATTACTTTCCCTGCTCAGCTCTGCAGGACAGCGGCCCTGCCCACTGAAGGCTCAGAGCATGAAGGCCCGGAGCTGAACCACTCCTTTCAAAGCAAGCCAAACGCCTTCTTACCTGAATTTTTATTGGTCTTGTTCTGCCGACTCTTAACTTGTTCAGTCCAAAGGGTGGGATAGCGTGAGGCAATGTCTAGGGAGAAAAGAAAAAAGATAGTCCTCCGTGAGCACAAGATAAGAACAGCGTAAGACTTCAGCAGTCCTGGAGCCCCAAGATCAGCTGAACAGATAAAGGCATGCTGTCACTTTCTGAAGAAAAGCACCTGCAAGAAGGCACAGGGGCTGGAGGTTTCATTCCCAAGCCTGCCGTGCCAGCCCTGCACCCAGGGGGTGCCGAGATGGCAATGGAGACTGGGCGTGGTGGCACGTGCCTGTAATCACACCTCTTGGCAGGCTGTAAACAGGCAGATCACTATGAGTCAAATCTAGTAGTGAAACCCTGAAGCCCCTTATAGACTCTTCCCTAAAATACAAAAAAAAAAAAAGAAGAAAAAAAAAAAAGAAATAAGTGAGATAATTATACACATGGGAGACAAATGAAGTAATATTAGTCCTCCTAAAATAGCTTAACATATGATTTGACTCTGGAAAGTCCCTCCTTAAAAGAACTAGGTTTTAGAATATAGCCCAAAGCACAGTAAGACATCCGGTGGGGTAAAGGCAGCTGGGCTTTCATATAACATGCAAGCTGCACTCATCTCCAAGGGTCGACACAAAGTCTAAAAGATAACTGTGCACAACATTCTAGAAACGCGCCATTTTAGCAGCACCAAATAAAACAGAACACACATAGTGCAGAGCGCCACAGTGCCCTGCAAAGGCAGACCCTGGGCTGGCCCACGGTGGAATCTCCACCTGCCACTGCCAACCGGGTGACCCACACCTCCGGGTCCCACCCTGGGGATGGAGTTTGAGCAGAGCATGTGACATCACGCTCAGAGCCACACGGGCTTAGCCATGGCTGCTATTCCCTGTAAAGGGACACAGTCTACATGCTAGCTTTTGTTCATTTGTAATGCGCACTGCGCATACTTTTATTCAAGCCCTGATCCCACTTGACCCACGAATTTGATTGATGTTCAAGATAATTTATTAAACATAAAATAGGAAACCTATCCTCATCAAAACTATTTATAAAAATATGAGATGTGCACAGGGAAATGGCGTGTGTTACAGTACCCTCTTGAGTTCATTTCATGCTATCCAAATTATAAAGTTGTAATCCGCACACTTCTATCAAAAGTAAATGTCGGGCTGGTGAGATGGCTCAGTGGTCTAAAGCACCTACTTAGAACAAGCTTAGCAAAGCACAGGGACCGCGGTTCAATCCCCCAGCACCACATGTCAG